TTATCGTCGGTACGAATCTCTTTATCCTAGATTCGACTCCTGATGTTTTGCATCTGTATGTGTGGTGCAGGAAAGGGAGAGGGGGATGGATGACTGTGTGGCACCCAGTGAGGGGTGGGGATAGACTGGGACAAAGCTGGAGCACACACGCACCTTTACCCCTCACTCACCTCCTCTCTCTTTTATTTCCTCCTACATGTGCCCGCCTTCACCTTATTCCATATTCGCTCAGCCTCAGTGCAACTTTTGACCTTTGTTTTTAAATTAAATCCTTTTAATTACAATCTGTTGCTCTTGCTCAACTTAAAACTTAGTTATTTTTTGCCTAATTGAAAGTGATTTTTTTAATTCATTGTCAAAAACACATAGAAATAATTACTTATATATATATTTATATCCTCTCTTTAAAAAAAAGAAGCACAGCCATCTCTATTTTTCACCAAATTATAACATCCCTGCTGATTTCCAATCTGAAATCAATACCCGGCCCTGCTGATGCAACGCCTGAGCCAGGACTCTTGTTTGAAATGAGCACCAAGCATCACTACTGAGTGAGTCCTGCGATAACACTAAACATATAATCTTTACCTCCGCGTTGGCCTATTTGCAAGCTGTAGGCCTATAGTGCTTTCACCGACTAATACAGGGCAATTACCAGCCCCGTGTAGTGCAATATAACTCTACGGTGGCCTTTAATAATAGAATATTAATAAAGAGCCTCTGTCTCATTTGAATGGCTGAAGTATGTGTGTGTGGAGGAAAAAAAATCCCATTCATGTCTGAAATTGAAGGCATGTTTAATGCTTAGACTCAGTGTGGCCCATTTAATTAGCGGTACAGGAGCTACATTATCATTTAAGTGCTCCAAGTTGGATTCGGCTTTAAATCAACGTTTGGCCCCCGACGTGGGACGCACTCAACGTATGTCCCGTGGGGATTAGTGGGGGATAAATTATGGGTGCCCATAGGCAACTTATGGCAGCATAATTAAAATGGCGGGAAATGCATCAATATAATCTGAATGTTGGAACTTGTGGTGGTGGAGTGCCTCCCCAATAAACCGGCGGATGCAGAAAGTAGAGCCAGAGTGACCAAACTCGGCGATACTGCAAATTCTGACATCAACCTGATACGAAGTAAATACAGGGACAGTATTGCCGATACCAATACCGATATCTTTTACCTATAAAGGCAGCTTATTTAGAGGAGAAACAAAACAAAAAACACCAAAAATAAGGACAGTATTGCCGATACCAATACCGATATCTTTTACCTATAAAGGCAGCTTATTTAGAGGAGAGCAATGTGTCATGATTTTTAAATTCTGAACACATTTCAATGACTACTAAGTCACTGTGATTTTTACATTTCCAAAATAATTATGTATTTAACACAATTCAGCGGGCTACATACTGAACTTAGGTGATAAAAGCAAAATCTGAACCCTATGGCGCTGCTATGATCTGATGCCAATACCAACGTTGGTATCGATACTAACGATATTTGAATGGCTCCACCTCTGGATATGTGAGGGGTTTCTAGGGGGACAGAGTGACACTTATTTAGTGTTTTTTTGTTGTGTAGTGCAGGTGCAGCAAGTATACTCTGAATTAAATCAACTTTAAAATGTTGCTCCTGGCGATCTGTGCAACTTGGCTTCCTGCTACCAATAACCATCACTGTCAGAACGGGTGCATAACGCAGAGTGATAACATCCAGTGCTTTTGCTGCTGCTGCTGCTGCTGCTGCTTGTGGTGAAGAGGGGGATGATGAAGACTGGATACTAAATGGCCGGTAGAGCAATATGGGGAGGGAGGAATTGCAAGAAAGAGCCTTTGACTTTGCTAATAATTATTAATGTCCCCGCGTCCTCGTCTGCTTCATATGGCTCTGACTCATGGCTCAGGCGGCTGCAGATGGCGGCTGAACCACTATGCATATGAACCGTGCAGGACTGCGCTCTCGCTGATAGGCTCCCGTCCCGGATCGATACAGACAGCATTCCTTAGAAAGCTCAAGTTTTACGCGGAGGTCTAAGACATATTTAGAAATATATTATATATATATATATATATATATATATATATATATGTATATATATATCATATTAAGCCAGCATATTATATATAATGTTTCATTTCATTATATATATAATATGGTGTGTTTGCACCTGTTTTTCAAAAATGAGCACCACATCTTTGTTGCAGTGACCCACAGAAATCAGTCACTTTTCCTGCCGTGGGCGGGCGATATCTTAATTGCCAATCTTCCCCGTTCAGCCATCGATTCATGCCATAAAGTGGGAACGCACCTACGCACTGCAAGAAAGTATACATGTACGTAAAGCCCATTTCATGCCATTCAGACACTCATACTTTAAAAAACAGAAGGGGGAGAGCTGAAAAAATGCACTGGCACACAGCAAGGTGAGGGTAAAAGGGTCCATTTTTTTCTTGCAGAATTACAATTTTCTTTTTTTTTCTTTTTTTTTTAGGGGGGTGGGGGGGGGGCGGTAAAATCATTCTAACTAGGTTTGTGATTCAATGAAATAAACTCTTAAATAATTCAAATAAAGCCCACAAATATTAAAGAGGCAGGTTTTTTTGGAGGGGGGTTGCAGTGTAAGCTGCACCATGAGTGAGCGCGACACCTGGCGGCAGCTTCATCATTCTCAATCAACGAGGCCAACAACGACTTGCAAACCGTTTCCTCCACCTCAGCACCGACCGGAGCGCCGAGAGGTGGAGAGGCCTTTAATGCAGCTCAAATACACGAAAATTTATTTTAAAAATTACAAAAATTATTTACATTAAAAAAAATCATGAAGAGTCAAGAATCTGGTGTTGATTTTTGTTCTAATTAATTTAAAGTTAACTTCTGCGCATATCTGAGATGAGTCATAAATGAGAAAACATCGTTAGAAGGCGATAATTAAAAAGGAATAACAGACAAATCAAGCGGTTTGTTTGCCCCTCTCCTCCCGCTTGGAGCGGGCAGCACCGGTGCTGCTGGCCCGGGACACACCGAGCCCCTTTTCATCTCGACTCCAATGCACAAACATACAGCTTAATGCGACCAGTGTTCCCCCTCTTTTATTGGGCTCACCATGGCTACCAAGCGCTGGGCTCAGAAATGCTCTGCCCCCTGAATCAATGAAGGGAAAGAGGTTTTTTAACCCGTGAGAAAAAGAAAAGAAAAAAAAAGTCACACTCAGCAGCTCCTCAAATCAACTTCGACTGTAAAATATAACACAAACTTATTCCCTGTGCCCACTCCTCTCTTTGCCTTTATTTAAAAAAAAAAGAAAAGAAATAGAAAGAAAGAAAGAAAACTTTCTGTGACGCTCACTGGAAGATCTCCAAAAACCAAAACACACACGACAAAATCTGAAGTCATCCACATTCAAATCCGCGCTATTTTTAAGCCCTTTTCTCTCCTCTCTCCTAAACTTTAAACAAACTCCACAGCAGTGGAAGATCGATTCGTATTAAAACCCATTTTCATACTGCACTTGCCTACGCGAACTCTCTGGAGGATTCCACTGAGGGGTTTCCACTCTCTCTCTCTCTCTCCCTGCTTAAAAATGTGATTGATTGCACTCTTCTCCGGTGGACATTCGCTACAAAGCAGCACAGCATCTGCCCGATATTTATATATATATTTAATTAAAAAAATAATAATAATAAAAAAGAGAAAAAGAAAGGAAAGAAAGAGACGGGATGGCTGGGGCGAGCATATTGATTTTTACGCATTCAGGAGAGAGGAAACCAAAAACAAGAAGACGAAGAAGAAGAAGAAGAAGAAGAAGAAGAAGAAGAAGAAGAAGAAGAAGAAGAAGAAGAAGAAGAAGAAGAAGAAGAAGAGGGAGGATACGAGTGCAGGCTGAAATGTCGTTTAAAGGACAGACAAGGTGGTAGTGGAGGTGGGGGAAAGAGAGCAAGCCACGAGCGAGAAGAACAAGAACAAGAAGGCGATAAACTCCAAAACATCCCTCGTGCGCAAAAAATAAACAAACAAATAAATAAATAAGCAAAGGTTATCGATGATTATTGACTTACCTCGTATCCGAGAAAAGTGGAGCTGGTGCCAGTGATGGTCGGTGTCGGTGTGTGTGAGTGTGTGTTGGGTGGTGTTGTGTGTGTGAGGTGGGGGGTAATAAATAAGCTTCACCGTTGCTCGCGTGCAGCCTGGAAACGGTTATCTGTGTGTCTTTTTCCTACGACTCGGTGCTCCCTGAGATTTTCTTCCCTCTGCCTCGACTGAGCAGGAGCTGTGCTCGGCTCCGCTATTATTTTCACCAAAATGTATGAAAATTTATGCAAATGAAAATCAATCACTAACTGCTTCGTCTCTTGTTACTTGGGATGATTTTTTTTTTCCTCTCCCCCCCCCCCCTTTTTTCCTTTCTTTCTCTCCTTCTTTTTTCATACCACAAAAATGACCCCACCTCCCCCACTACCCCACCCCACCCACCCCCAATCCGCAGCAGGGGAACTTGGGGGACCTTTTTTTTGTAGTAAGCAAATAAATAATAAACACATCACATATCAGAGAGGAGTGGGTTTGTTTTCTTTCCCTGACTCCTCTTTTATGTATGTTACATATTTCTTCTTCTTCTGTTCTTTTTCCGGTCTTGTCTTCTCTGCATATGTGCTGTCACGTTTGTGCCGCTGGCCGCCTGAGACGCCCTTTCAAAGCGTGCGGCGGTGTGGACTGAGCAGCAGTAATTTAGACAGAAATCCTCACTGTATATTAATGAATGGAGGGGGCCCCCACGGCTCTGGGCCCTAGCCTGCCCATTCAATGTAAACAAATCCACGCGGCTCCCTCGATTTTTGAGCCCAGTCCAAATTAAATCTGCTGGGGATGAGGAGGAGGAGAAGAAGAAGAAGAAGGGCGGAATGGGGGCGGTGGTGGTGGTGGTGGTTCACTGGCATGGAGTACACAGCTACTCGACCGCCTTATATTTGCTCTTAAATCCCATTTGCAATAAAAGTCTTTGCGTCATCTTTGATTTGGGGAGCTTATGAGGCGATGTTGGGGGCTAAGGCGGGACATGCGCCGCTAATCTGCCTGAAATTCACCTGCTTACAGGCCCACTGCACGCTATATATCTGTGGCTTATTACCACCCATTGGTGCATGCGTATATAAGCACGCAGGGAGAGCGGGGAAATAGAGGGAGGCGTCGGGGGGATGTCTCTCCACAAAGGCCCCATTCACTCTGGGGCGCGGCGGCGGTCATGTGGTCATCTTGAGTGACGGTGCAGGCCATGTCTCCGTAAAGGGCTGCTCAGCTCGCCCTTGTTTTGGTCACCACTTTTCTTGCCTTACCCCCAGGTGTTTTAAAAGTGACTCAGTATCAATACCGATCAATACCGATATTTTTAACCCGCACATAGGTGAGAGCAGTGTGTCTTTATTTATGACACGAGTCATCATCAATTTGCAAATTCTGAACATATATTAATGACCACAAAATCACTGAGATTTTTCTTTTAACTGTTAACTTTCTACAATAAGTAGTTAAGCTTTTCGTGCAGTGGCAGAGCTAGAAAATTTTACATGGGGGCCAGCAAGTGTGTGTGTGTGTGTGTGTGTGTGTGTGTGTGTGTGTGTGTGTGTGTGGAGGGTGGGGGGGTCAAGGTAGGGTGGCACATACCTCTTTAGAGAAATAAGTGAAACTCACCCTGTATGTCAGTGGAGTCAACAAAATAGCCACAGGATATCCACAAAAACGACTATTTTAAGCACACAAAAGTTGGGAGTTGGGGGTCAAGGCTCTACATCAGATGTCCCCCATAGATCCACTAATGTTTTTGAGTATTTGGAAACTTTTTTGTTTTGTTTTATTTTGTTTTTGTGGAGGCCTATAATGTAAACGTACCTGTCTCTAAAGGACTTTTCGAGTCAACCCCTCTTTAAATGTGCTGTAGGCTGTAAAAGAATTGATGTGACAGTCAACAAAAAATGGTTCAGACATCTTTTATAGTCTACGTCTGAGTTGGGTTGTTTTTTTTTTGTCATTTCCACCCCCACCCCCCTCAGCAGGCTACATACTGAACTTGGAGGATAAATACAAAATATCAACCCTATTGTGCTAGTTTCAATCTGATATCGATACCAGTGTTTATATCATTATTATTGATATTTGTATCAATCGCCCACATCTGTTAACTGGATGTAAGATACAGGATGGCAGTCTCACCTGAGCCTGTTTTTTGCTTCTTTGTTTGCTCTCTTCAGCAGGTGGATTTAGACAAACCCCACAATCCTGAGACTGTAAAGCCCTTTTTTGTACACTTCTGTCCCAGAGAGGAGTGACTCCCCAAAACTAATCTTCTTATCCACTAAAACGTGCATATTTGTCTGTAAAGACACACGTGGAACACACCAGAGAGCGTTTATCTTGATTATGGTTTAAATGTCAGTTTATCCAAACTTTATTTCCCCCGCGCTCCTCATCCCGTTTGTGTACTAGCATCTCACCACTATTTACTACCAAGTTGTACCCCAGGTTTTGTTTGGACTGCAATTAAAAATCAGCCAATCGGAACAGCCGGAAGGAGGGCTCGTGCGCCCGGAGCAAGGCTGGCAAAAAAAAAAAAAATCTGCCAATCACGCCCCGGGTAACCAATCAATGCGGACGCACGGGGGTAAAACACCGCGTCCTCTGGCTGGGAGGTGGGGAGGGTAGAGGACTTGGGGGGTGTTGGAGGGGGGCGGGGCTGTCTGGAAGAGAGAGAGAGAGATATAGAGAGAGAGAGGCAGGGGGAGAGAGAGTGAGAGAACAAGCGAATGAGAGAAGAGGCTCGCGAGCAGCGCCGCGCACTGTTCCACTGGATTGTACTTGAACGGGAGTTTGCGGTTTGGCAGGTTTATACACATCAAAACAGAACAAAGAGACGGGCTCGAGCACGGCCACAGCGCCGGGAAACAAGAGAGGAGAAAAAGAAGAAAGCGAGGGGAGAAATCTCAGCGACTGAATTACAAAAGAACTGAGGACACTCCGCTCATGGTTTCCACATCTACACGGGGACATAAACCGGGACTTTGTACGCTGTGGAGAATTTGCGAGGCTGTTCTTTTTTTTTTTTTTCCTTCTTCTTCGTGTGTTTTGTTTGTTTTCTGCGGCCACCGAAAGTTTGCTTCGGGACAAGCGCGTGCCGTTTTTCTTATTTGAATTTTTAATGTTCGCAGTTTCACCCCAGCCAGAAACTTTCGAGCCGGACAGCACATGGTTTGAAAAAGGGCTTCTGAAAGACGTGGATGTTTTAATCCCTGCAGTAGAATGTTGTAAACACGAGAGGATTTTATCCACTTTTTTTTCTACTCCAGGATTTTTATTTTATTTTTCCGATGGTGTTTGCCAAAGAGAAAAAAACCCTCCCCGTACTTTTAAAAGTTTGAATAATTCATGAGATACGATTTGCCTGCTCGAGAGAAGTGACGGTTTTAGAAAAAAAGAAGAAGAAAAAAGGGGGAAGAAAGAGAAAGGGAGGGGGGTTATCCACAAACATATTCATAAGGGGCTGACGGAATGGCCACCGCGGCTTCCAATCCTTATCTCCCCACCAATAGCATCTTATCGTCCGGCTCCATCGTGCACTCTGACTCCGGAGGTGGTGGCATGCAGCCGGGCAGCGCTGCGGTTACCTCCGGGTCTGGGGGCTACAGGGGGGACCCCACGGTCAAGATGGTTCAGAGTGACTTTATGCAGGGCGCCATGGCAGCGAGCAACGGGGGGCACATGCTGAGCCATGCCCACCAGTGGGTGACGTCCCTCCCGCACGCCGCCGCGGCCGCAGCGGCGGCCGCTGTGGCCGCGGCGGAAGCCGGGTCCCCCTGGTCGTCGAGCCCGGTCGGGATGACGGGCAGCCCGCAGCAGCAGGACGTGAAAGGATCCGGCAGAGACGACCTGCACACGGGCACGGCTCTACACCACAGGCCCCCCCACCTAGCTCCCCATCAGACTCACGCCGGGAGCTGGGGCAGCACCACGGCGGCTCACATCAACTCCATCTCCGGGGGCCAGCAGCAGCAGCAGTCGCTCATCTACTCCCAGCCCGGAGGCTTCACTGTCAACGGCATGCTGAGCCCGGGCGGACAGAGCCTGGTGCACCCAGGGCTGGTGAGGGGGAACACCCCGGACCTGGACCACGGCAGCCACCACCATCACCATCACCACCAGCATCCGCACCACCAGCACCACGGAGGCGGAGGAGGCGGAGGTGTCAACAGCCACGACCCGCACTCGGACGACGACACGCCGACCTCGGACGACCTGGAGCAGTTCGCCAAGCAGTTCAAGCAGCGGCGGATCAAGCTGGGCTTCACGCAAGCAGACGTGGGCCTGGCTCTGGGCACCCTGTATGGGAACGTCTTCTCGCAGACCACCATTTGCAGGTTCGAGGCTCTGCAGCTCAGCTTCAAGAACATGTGCAAGCTGAAGCCTTTGTTGAACAAGTGGCTCGAGGAGGCCGACTCTTCCACGGGCAGCCCTACCAGCATCGACAAGATCGCGGCGCAGGGGAGGAAGCGAAAGAAGCGCACGTCCATCGAGGTGAGCGTCAAGGGGGCTCTGGAGAGCCACTTTCTAAAATGCCCCAAGCCCTCGGCCCAGGAGATCAGCAGCCTGGCGGACAACTTGCAGCTGGAGAAGGAGGTGGTTAGAGTGTGGTTTTGCAATAGGAGACAGAAGGAAAAACGGATGACGCCCCCGGGAGTGGCGCAGACGCCGGAGGATGTGTACTCTCAGGTCGGCAATGTGAGTGCAGAAACACCGCCCCCCTCCATGGACTGCAAACGAATGTTCAGTGAAACATAGAAACAGCACAGCAGAATATTTTATATCAAATTAAAACTGTTTAGGACATAAAAGCAACACCATACAGACTATCGCCAAGATAGACAAAAAAACAGAAAAAAGACAGCAAAAAACATTTTTTTGATACTGTGATTGTGAGGGAATATGAATGAGACTGCAAAACAAAAACAAGAAAAATACAAAAAAACAAAAATGTGTTATCTATTTTTCACCAGAAACAAAAAACCTTCACCCCTTCCCTTCTTTTTTTCTTTTTGTGTCCTCCCCCCTCTCTTCTTCCAGGCCCTTAAAGAAATGTCTTTACCTAAAAGGTTCCTTCTGCTTTTTTCTTTCAGGGGCATTTTTTAGTAGATTACTTAAAAGATGATGCAAGTGAAGCGAGCGACCAGAGGGTGACAACCACAAGTTCATTCCACCAGGTAATTTTGGCGCATTGAGACAACAACCAAGAGGAAACCCAAGTATTTTTTATTATTATTATCATTATTATTACTATGATTATGACGATGATGATTCCGTTTTAAAAAAAAGAAAGAAAGAAAAAGAAAATTCTCTGTCCCTCCAAATCCCCATAAAACAAAAAAGGACAAATTAAAAAATATCACCCCTCATTTCTCATTTTCCTGTGTTTGACTGAAGAAACAACAAAGGACGCTCTTTTTTTCTTTTTGGGGCTTTTACATTTTAATTATTTTTTTGTATATTCAGAAATGGGACTGAACCGCCCCTTTCTACTTCTCCATGCCCAACAATAACAAGAGAGACAGGAGGGGGGGTAAAAACTGCAACTGTGTGAAGAAGAGTGACATCCACGAGGCTTCCTTTATCATTTGCAGCTTCTTTTTGAGGTGGACTGCATGGTTTCACTTATGGAGAATTAGGGATATATTTTTTTCTTCTCCTTCCCTTTTTTGTTTGCCATCTTTGAGGCCCCTCACGAGAAAGAAAAGACGAGCAGGACCAGGACTGACCTGAAAAAAAAATACAAAATCCTTCACGTGGGAGCTTCTTCGATTCTACCTATTATTATTATTATTAATATTATTATTATTATTATTTAATGGACACCACGAGTGGATTTTTTCTTCTTCATATAAAAACACACATATATATATATATTTTTTCCCCCCTCATCAACAAATAGAGACATTTGCAAAAGACTCCAGCTGCACTTCTTTGAGAGAAAAAGGACAAAAAAAGAAAAAAAAATCTGTTGCCAAGTGTGACTGAGTGGGTGCTGTGGATATCCTATTAATGCTGCCCTTTGTAAGCAGTATTCTTTGGTAGGTTTTAATAAACAAAAAGAAAAGAAAATGAAAAAAAACTGTAAAGGCGGCAATATAGATCACTAGATCAGATACTGATCTGAGTTATTTACTTTATATTTTTCATCCAAAAATGACTTGTTTTAATATTTTATTGGGAATACTTTCAACACGGTAATTTATTTTTCTTGCCCCCCACCCTCCCCACCCCTTCCTCCTCCTCAAGGAACTTGTGTAAGATGCTTTCCCCTCTCTTGTTTTTTTTGTTGTTTTTTTTTTAAAAATATGTGTAAATATATATGTATATATATTTACATATATATAAAAAAATTTGCCCTTATTTGTTTAATTTTGTTTTCTAAAGGAGCACAAATCACCATAAGATGACCGTTGTTAGGTAATAAGGGTATATTTTGATGTGATCAGTTTGATTGTAATTTAATTTCAGTAGTGGTTCCGTACGAGCTGATTGAGACACAATAAATTTGTTAGAATGAAACGCAGTCATGTTGTGTTTTCCACTTTTATTTACTCATGTATTTAACACAAAAGCTCAAAAATAATCCAGGTGCTGTTATTTGCGTGCACAGCTGCAGAATAATAATAAAACGCGGGATTCATTTATTTAAAAAAAAAAAAAACAGCGCCGGGATTTGTTGATGTAGTAAGAGTGCGTGATGATGGGGTAAAGGTGCAGTAGTGTTCTCATCATCGTCATCATGCCATAACTGTGTGTGTGTGAGTGGAACATCGCGGTCAGCTGCAGGCCTGCACAGTGCATGTGCTCGTCTGGCTGTTTGTTTACATCTGCTGCCTCTTCAGGGCCTGCGCAAAAAGCAGGAAAGTTAGCCTTCAGGCTGGGAAATGGTTCCTACTTATATTTAAAACAGAAATAAGTAAATAGGATTAAAACGAGTGTCTCTATTGTGTAGTTTTAAAACAAACGACCGTGGTTTTACAGTAATTCTGCTGTTTTGTATATTCACACACACACATATATATATATACATATATATGTGTGTGTGTGTGTGTGTGTGTGTGTGTGTGTGTGTGTGTGTGTGTGTGTGTGTGTGTGTGTGTGTGTAATACAGGTACAGTAGGGCGCTGTGGGTTAGTGTCGCTGCTGTGTGGAGCCTCCTGATGTTCTGGGGTTGTGTGTTATGTAATATTTAAGCTCGCAGTCCAGATAAACACACTCAGCATCATGTTTGGGGATTTTTTTTCATCCTCCTGCTTTAATTCTGCTCAACATTACGAGAGGCTAATCCGCACAATGATTTCCTTAAGTTAGACTTTATAAGCCGGCTGCCTGGCTCTCCTCTGCCCCTCGCTGTGCAGGTGTGTTTGGGTCCACGGGCTCCATAAACCCGGTGGGGCTGACATGCTGTTTTAGGATACGGGGCAGTGGGTCACTGAGGTTTTTAAGCACCGAGTGTGTCCACAGCCTCAGCACGGTGCAGTCTGACAGGGAAATATACCAGCCAAACAATATCACTAATAGCGCCTGCGCAGACCAAAAAAAGCATCTTGTAATGTTTATCTTCCTGTAGTAAATCTAAATTATTTTTATTATTGTTGTTGTTATCATGCAAATTTTATCACCATGAAAACGTGTCCCTGTCTTTCAAACTTTTTTTTTAAATTTGTACTGAAAATATACAAAATATATAGATATTTTATTTATTTCACTTTTTTTCTGGAGTTGTCTTGCTAGCCTATTCAGCAAAAACTCACCAAACGTGTCCTCGCGCTGCAGGATTTTGAATTTCGCGGATGATTTCCCCATACTAGTTGCTTAGCAACTGAATTCAATGATATAGAGAGAAGTGGGCATCATTTTTCTTTGTCTCCATTAGTAAAAGTGGCAGCAGAGGAGGCACGCTGCTGCACGTGAAGCCAGCAAAAACAAAACAAACAAAAAAAAAAACTTTACACCCTCTCTCGTGCATTTTTGCCTTTTAAAAAATAATATAATTAATTAAAATATTTTAAAAGGTGCCGGGCTGCTTGTTTAATTGTGTTTAAATTACAAATAAATAAATAAATATGTGGGCGTGCTTATGAGACAGTAAACATTAAAATAAAATAAAAATAAAATACCGCGAGGTTCTAGTTTGGCCTACCTATTGCACGCGCTCATTATGCATGCAGTTCCTGTGCTCCTCTGCATAAAAAAAAAACCCAAAGAGAAAGTCACGTGACTCGCCGAGATAAGACCTTCAGCACAGGCAGGAACAATCGAGGTTCCTCTGCAACAAATCCCACACTTGTGCGTTTACATTGCGTTTATGGATTCCAACCAAAAAAAAGACACAGACACACACAAAGAAGAGGAAGAAGAAGAAAAATAGCTTTGAGAGCATCCAACAGTTTGCTCTTGCACAAATATCCCAATCTAGAGAGACATTTTTAACCAAAGGGCGACACAAGAAACACACACAGGAGGGAAAAAAAGAGTTTCAAATCTCATAATGGGTTTTGATCCGCCTATTCTCCAACAGCTTTGCCTTTTTCATGGGTTTTGATAGCCGTGTTGGCAGCAGTAGCACGCGGGTGTGCATGCATGTAGGTGTGCGCGCGCGCACCGGTAGGCCCCGGGAGCTGGGAGCGCTTCGCTTTCCCCGCTATTGATTCTGGGGACGACGGTGGCCCGACAGGCTCGCCTCGCCCGTCCGCGTTAATTAAAGCCGCTCGTTGTCACAGCTATGCGCTCTTTAAAACCAGGCTTCAGCAGGGTGGAGGGCGGGTGGAGGGACTCCAGATTTTTCCTATAAATCCAAACTTTTGATGATAAATATTTCATGGGCCTTCAATCAGCCGCTGACACACACACATACACGCAAAGTCTGCTTGAGCGCAAGAAATCTAATAAAAAAAAACAGTTACTTAATGAGATTCATATTTCAGTAAATGCTTCTGTTTGAATAAAAATAAATACACGTGTGTCTATTTGACTGCGACGTTCACGCTTGAATACATCCACCCAGACTTACAGGTGTTTGGGTTTGTTTTTCATAACGTTTTTACTGTTTTTAAATAAATAATACGCACCTCTGAAATCATATTTATACCCACCCTGTTTCAGAGGTTTTGAGCGCATTTACCACGCACAGGGTTTCTACTTTTAACAAGGCCCCGCACAACTTCCTCACTTTCTTGGCTCCACTTTCTCTGAAAGCACACCTATGGGGCAGGTGGGTGCCGGTCTCGCCCTCTGACCTGGTGAAAATGTGCATACGCACAACTGGATTTTCCCTTCAAACCCTCCATCCACCCACCCACCCAACCACACACCCACCCCAAAAACCACCACGTTCATATTTACTCCACGTGTCGGGCGCATGAATATGGATTATTCAGAGCTGCTCTCCGCAGGGAGCCTTCCGCTTCCACGTCTACATGGATTTATGTGTGCTGCAGAAGAGAGGGAGAGGGAGAGAGAGACGCTCAGAAAAACCTATCCCCGTCTTCTGACTTCTGATCGTCATTAACAGTGGGTAGGATTTCCAGCCACCATGGCGCTTTATTTCACCCCACTCGTGTCCCGGTTGTCGGGCTGTCATCGTGGAAATTTTACGAGAAATTGTGGGAGCTGCTACAGGGTCAGTTTCAATTTTTGTGTGAAGATAATTCCCCATTTTTTAAAATTTTTATTTTACTATATTTACAATTTAATATACATTCCGCAAACTAATAATAATAGTATATTTTATTATCATAAATCTAGTTTTATTTGTGAGTTATTTGTAATTTATTCTGAATTATTTATTAGTAATTAAGTAAATAGTTTTGTTTATAATTTCATTTATTCGTAATTTATTTTTGTTTGTTTTGAATTCATTTTACAGCAATTGTACAGATTTCTTTCAAACGCACTATAACTAAGGTTGACGCAACTATTTTAGTTATTCTTTTACTAGTCATCGTTATTCTTACCCCATTATTATTAATAATATTGTTATTATTATTATCATCAGTATTTGCATATTTGTATGTAAATATAAAAAGAAAGTGGCATGCTAGACATTTACGGGAGACTTTTTTTTCCTCCTCTTCTCTCGACATCAGAATATCTATCAGAGTCAAACAAAAGCAGTAGATCATAACAGGCCTCCGTGTAAATACAGCTTATCAAGACTCTATTGTGGCAGCAGGGAGAGAAGAAGAAGAAGGAGAAGAAGAAGGAGAGGAGGATGTTTTAAAATATGACGTGACTCTCGGGGGTTTCCTCTCTATAAATTGTGAAGGTCATGGTTTTGTGAGCAGGCAGGATGGATAGGTGGAGGAGGAGGAGGGTGGGGTGAATGGAGTCTGAAGGCAGCTCAGCTCTCACAGAGGTAATGTGCTTCAGCACCTCATCTGCCTGCGTGCATTTCAAAAGCGCAGAAAGCCTGCGCGCTGAAGTCTAATGTTTGTGGGGGTTTTCTACTCCTCTTCCTCTTTTTAAATCTCGCCTTTAACTCAGCAACACGAGAGCTTTGATTAGCAGTTCAGATACAAAATGCTCCATTAAAAAAAACAAAATGATTATTGATTATTTAGACACGAGATTTTCAAAATAAATTCACCTCAAACGCCCCTCCACATCCCTGTAAGTGTTTCTCGCCTTTACACTGATGTGCTTCGGGTTTAAAATACCGCTAAAGTGTTTTTTTTAAAATTATTATTAGTATCATTGTAATTGTTTGTAATAATCATGTAATAAGCACATAATTCTCGTAAGTGCGTCACGGGAATTTAAATTTCTTATTATGAAGGCGGTAAATAAACACACTTACAGGAAAGTTTAGTAGCAGCGAAATTCAAGTGACAGCATCACACACACACACACACACACACACACACACACACACACACACACACACACACACACACACACACACACTATTGCAATAAGTTGTATTTTCCAAAGGAAGTTTTTAGACGAAAAGTAGTCCCGTTTGTTTTTTCTGTTGCGGGTCAGTGCGCAGACTACAGACCCCACACACCCCTCATTAATTATTATATCATATTATATAATATACAACATATACAATATATCAAATGAAATCAGGTGTTCATACGTGTGTGTGCGCGTAATTTTAGTCTCTGCGTGTTGTGTGTCGCTCACTTTGTGTCCCTGAAACGCCTCACTGAGAGGGAAAAGTTATATAGACAAATACAGAAGATGCCCAGAAAGTGAAACTAGACTTCTAACCCCTCTTCATCCGCCTTTAAGCTCATCAAACACAAACGTGGATCTCTTTTACACTAAAAAAAAAAAAAAGGAAAAAAGCTTGAATAAATCCAGCTCACCTGTCAGTTCCCTCCATATTTACCCGCATTAAAGTGACTTAAACAACAACTCCTTCACGTTTTCATGAGTATTTTTCCACAATCAAAGCCTAATCTAATCCAGACATCTTCTCCACACACCCCACCTCCCCCCCGTCCCCCCACCCTCTTTTCTTTTTTTCTTTTCTTATAACCACGGCTTCTCCTCTCCGGTTTCCCTGACCTTACA